AACACTCCCCTACACCACGCCTCCAGAATCAAGTTTGTTGAGGCTTTGGGGAAAGAAATCCCATAAACCCTCATATTGCCGCAGTGCAGGGGTCAACGCGGTGAGAGGAGCTGGGGACAGGGCAGGGGGATCAGGCTTCTGTGGGTTTTTATTTTCCTCTGGGAAATGGTGGGGTACCAGAGATGTTCCCCTGGTGGAACACTGCAGGGCAGGCACTTTCCACACTGGGGGCTTCATGAACACTGGAAATAGCCGGGCTGGGGGACCCAGAGGGATGGGGGTGGGAGGTCTCGACCAAATAGCTGATGAGCCAGGACAAAATCCCTTACCAGGCACCGTTCTTGGGGCTGGAGATCCATCAGTGGATAGACATTCCTTCCGGCGTGGAGCTTACATTCTCAAGGGGTGTGGTGAGCAGTAAGCACAACCAATAGTAAATTAATTATGTGATGCCCAGATTACAAGGGGGCATAGCATTGGGGATGAGGCAGTTTGGGGGGAGGCAACTGCAGATATCAAGTCTCTAGGGTGGGACACCTGAAAGGCTGACTCCAAAAGGGCTGGACTGCGATAGACCAAGAGGCCCCTGTGGCACCAGTTTGCCTCTGGCAGGGTCTCCCTTAAAGTAACACAGTGAGAGTTCCTCTAACTATTTACAAAATACGTAGAGCTCATGGAACAAGTTAAAAACATACCCAGTTTAGATAAGAATGTCAGCTTTCCAATCTCTCCCCGTTACTGTCTGACTACACCTGAGGCGTGGTTTCCCCCATCTCGTCCACACTGGGTTCCCAGCGTCGAGGCCGGATCCCAGTGAAGCAGATTTTTCTGTCTGCTGAAGGGCATGGCTGAAATCGTAGGTCTTGGAAGGAAAACAAAGCTCAGGTTGGTGGAGCTCTGCAGTCGAACAGAAGAAAGTCGGCCAAGCAGGGTCCACTTAGGTTAATCACTTAGGTTAATTCAGAGCTGGCCACCCTGTAGTCAAAGAAGGCTCAAGGTCAAATTATGGAAAGCCAGATCACCCAGATGTGACGAAGACTGTGTTCATTAGATTTCTTCCTAGACAGCTGAGAGCGGGGAGGCTGGGAAGCCATGGGATGTGCCCAAAGGTTCCTCTGGAGGGATCTGAGACCTTTTGTTCTGCACCTCCAGTGCTGGGGCCATCCAAGATGCCAAGCCATGCTCACCCCCTGTGGCCAGCTCCCTGCAGAAGTACACCTGGGTCAATCCACAGGCCTGCCGCAAGGCCACCTGGACATCTGATTTACCTGTACCTGCACCCCCTCCCCAGGCACCAAGAGTGGAATACTTGCACCAGAGACGAAGTCCTCAGGGTGTCCCCTCTATTTCCCAGCCTCGGGGGCTGTATGTCTGGCATAAATAGATTGGACACTCCTTAACATGGGATTTGGGGGATAAAGTGCAAACCAGGCAACTGAAACTACACAATTACAAGGAAAGTGAATTGAGTCAGCCGCTGATGGAGTCCACTGACATGCTTGCTCCCGGGACATCAGGCAGTTGGCTCTGCAGCATGGTAGCAGGTCCTTACCAACAATTTGAGGGAGCAAATGCTCATTAGAGAGCAGAGGAGTTACCTGGAGTAGGTGTTCGGTTGCAGACCCCAAGTTTCACAGGGGACACAGAGAAAACGGAACTCACAGAGAGAAAGGTGAGAGGGAAGAAGGGACATCTTCTGCAGAACAATGTCGGAGGGACCAGGCACGATTTGTCCAGGGAAGCTAAGGCCTGGAGAGAAATATGGCACCATGATTGAAGAGCTCAAGTCCTGTTGTGTGGGGGCGGGGCTCACGGACACGGTGACACAGAGCCGTCGGGGCGACAGGGAGTCCCATTAGGCACAGGGACCGCTCCCTGCAATGACAACTACTTTAAACTGGTACGGGCTGCCCTTTGAGGCAGAAAGTGTTTTCCCACTGGACATTCTCAAGGCCAGCCTGGTCCACCTGCCTGTGATGTCCTGTCGAAATTCCTGTTGGGGTTGGGGTCTGGACTGGGCAGTCCTGTGATGAGCTCCTCTTATGTTTGCCTGCCTGGCACCCACATTGGGCTCTGAGTTCCCCAAAATGGCCTTGAGGAAGCACCCATGTCCCAATTTTTCTGCATGTTTCCATTAGGGCCGGCATTCCCTTTGGCCTGTTTGGTTCCCTGGGAGTCAAGCCAGGCCAGTCAGTGTTTGGTTTCCCCTCACTGGGCATCGTGGCTGGTTGCCAGCTGATGAAACCCAGTCCCCTAAAACCAAGTTCCTTTACCGAGTTTAGGATTCATCTCTCATCCAAAACTTCCTCGCCTTTCTGTCCCCTCTGGCCTCAAGCCTGTGCTAACAACACTAATCACCAGAGTCAGATGCTTAAGTTGCTGTTGTCCATCGCTAACGTACTAAAATTGCTATTATAGATTCATCATTAACCTACAAACTCGGGTTGTTTCTCCAGGCCAAGGTGAGCTCACAGACCCCTGAGCCGGGGACAACCTGGGACACCCTGACTCCTGAAACCATGATTCAGAAATGTCACAAGACAAAGATTCACCCCAGCTTCTTTGTTCTTCCCCTTAAACACATCCCCCAACCCAAAGACCAGGTGGGAGTGGCTCTGAGGCTTGTCTCCCCTTCCCTCACTTGATGCCTGCAATTAATGCTGTACTTTCCTTCACCACAACCCAGTGTCAGTAGATTGGCTTTGCTGTGTGGCAGGCGAGTGGACCCGAATTTGGTTTGGTAACACTGATGGGATGCAGCCTTGGAGCTGCCAGGAGGGCCATGGTGACAGTCTTGCGGAGCAGAAAGCCAGCAGATAGAAGGCAGAGCCATGGAGAGAGCTAGAGATCAAGGGTTGAAAACCCAGAATGGGTTCTTGGTCATGGCAGGCCTGAAACCAGTGCACCCTGAGCCTTCCCTTTAGCCATTTGGAGCGGAGATTTGGTCACTTACAACCAAAAGTCCCAATAGCAATGCCACAGATCCGACCTACTTTGCCATTTGGTTATTCTCAGATTTGGCGCAAGGGGGATGACATTAGTAAGGATTAGAACTGGAGTGCTAGCTATGTGACATGCACAGTGGACAGCACTTGACAGGCACTATTTCCCATGCGGCTGAGATGATTATTACCCCCAATGTATAGATGTGTATAAGTGGGACTCTTTCCATGCCTGTAAGTGCAAAGCCAGCAGCTCAAGCCACGGCAATAAGGACCCACTTTATCACTGTCTGCCCTCTCTGGCTTCATCCTAGGCTCTACGTATTGTCCCACTGGCCATTCCCAGGAGCCCGGCGAGCAACGCCTTACACTTCTGGTTCCTGACCAACCACTGACCAGATAGCATGGTGTAGACCTGGGGGCAAGGGGAGTTCCAGAAGGAAATTCTGAACACTTTCGTAGCAGCGTGGAGAATGGATATTGGGCAGAGAATAGACGCCAGTGCAACAGGACCACGCTGTCACTTGTCCCAGCCACACAGCCGGGCAGTGACCAGCCAGGTTCTCATAGAGAATCTCTCCCCGGCCACGTTCTGTGTCTTTCTCCCCTGCTTTATGTCCCATCTGCCCCTGGAGCAAATGGTGGGCTTCAGTGCCGGCCACCAATCCTGGGTCCCAGAGATGAGGCACCTCTGTCTCTGCCTTTTGGCCTGAACTCTCCCAGGGAGGTTTGTGGATTTGAATCCTCTTTCCAGAACATTCGGAGTTTGTTGGCCTCCCTGTTCAGCATGTTTAAGGTACCACACAGCCCCATGGGCCCGGCATGAAGAGGGTGGCACCTGGAAATGCAGCAGATTTCCTAACAATAGAATCGAGGTAATGTGCGGACTCTTCAAGTGAACTATGCAGACAAAAGCAGGGGCCTCTCCCCCTTGAAATCATACATTATACTGCCTTGCCCTCTTTAGATTTGAGGGGAGAATTTGCCTATGGTCATCAGGCTGTGGTGTGAAGCCCTCCTGCCTGGCATGAAAAGCCATGCTCTCTTCCTAGGTGTGGAGGAGGACAGGGGCTTAGCTCATCTGAGGGGTAGTGGGAAGGGGCGATCCAGGTGTGCTGGACGGGAGAAGAGATGCATTCTTACCTGTGGTCCCCACATGCAAACCACTGAATAAAAGCATTAGCCTCTGAGACTGGGAGTAAGGAATGTCTTATCACCATGGTTACCGGGAAATGGTCCCACTTATATATAATAAGGGCTTTAGCAGAGGCCAGGCCATCTGATGCTCTCATCGGGGGCCAAAAGACAGGGTGCCTGAAGTGTCAGTCCTTATGAAGTTACATGAACAGCTCTGGGTCAGGTGCTGGGCCACGTACTGGGAACACCGCGTCTTTTCTTTATTTGTTGGGATCGGGGGGTGGGAGTCAGGGGAGGAAAGAGGCCTGGGCATCTTCACCTAGTCACCCCTTTGTTACCCAGCACTTGGCTCTGCGTCTGGCACACAGCAATGCTGCATTAATGAGTGAGTGTGCTGCCTCAGTATGGGGGTACCACCCCAGATATGGAGCTGCAGTGGCGGGGGAGGGGGCGTTGGAGCGGCCATCTCTCCTTTAGTTCTCACGCTCCTACGTGGCAGAGAGATACCCAACAAGGAAAAAAGTACCCCTCCACCATCCCCCGCCAGACGCCTCCCCTAGCCCCCCCTGGCCCAGCACTGAAGGCTTTGAGGTGGCAGTCCTGGAGGGGGACCCCCGCTGACTGACCGCAGGGGGCCCGGGGTCGCTGGCCCAGGCCCCGCGAGTTTCCGAACTCGGCGCTTCCGAGTCCGGGGCGGACGCTCGCCACCTGCCAGGCCAGGGGCGCGGGCAGCGGGAGGAGCGGGACTGCCCAGAACTGGGGCAGCCGCGCCGCACAGGAGCAAAACAAGAGCACGCGCACCTGCCGGCTCCGCCCCGCCCCTGCGCGCCGGCCAATCGCGGGTCGTGGGCGGGGTCGGCGCGGGCGGGTCGTGGGCGGGGCCGGGGCCCCAGCTGCGGCCGGAGCCGGAGCCAGAGTCCGCGCCCGGCGCAGCCGCCGAGCCTAGGACGAGAGCGCAGCCTCTTGCCCGCCGCCCGTCTCCGCCGCCCGCAGCCTCGTCCCCGCCGCCGCTGCCCCCGGGGCATGGCCTGTCTGACTGCCGCTTTCTCGGTCGGCACCGCCATGGTGAGTGAGCGCATCCTTTGGCCCCGGGGCTTGGTTCTGTTCTCTAGGAGAATAAGAAACGCACAAAGACCCGCACCCGCACCCTGACAGCTGTCCCCCGAGCCCCGGGAGAGGCCCCTGACTCCCATCGCCCCCCGCCCTAGCTACCTGGCTCCTCGGGATGCCCCTTGCAGCCGAGGATGCGGGGAAGGTGGAGGGGCCAGGAGAGGCAGGGAGGAAGGAGGCCAGCAGCCCCACAAGTGTACTGATGGCCTTGACCTCGTCTGCCTCCGGGTGAGGGGCCTGAGGCCTGGGGACCCGGAGTGTACTGGGGCGGGGCGGCAGCCTGGGCCAGAGGGAAAGGGGGCCCCATCCCTCTGCCGGCGCGTGCGGCCAGAGCCTGGGGAGCGGGCGCCTCTCGCGCTACTCTCCGGAGCACCGGTACTGTCTGGGGGAACAAAAGAGAGAGGCGGTGGAGAGCCGGAGCCCGTGCTGCCCCTTCGCCCTCGGGGACAGCCTCTCCCGGACCTGCTCAGGAGGGGGCGGCGGAGTCATGGGAAGACAGATGAGGGGCGAGCCTGGGTACCTCTGGCCACATTTCTGCACCCTGTAGAGAGAATAGGGTGGGGACAGAGGCACGCATCTCACTTTTCCCAAGGGTGCCAGCTCTGTAGGGGTACCACCGACTGCAGGCGCATTCTTTGCTAGACACTATTACAGTTAAGTGCTATTCCTCTGAGTGGCCAAGAGTCTCCTCTTGCCCCTTTAAAATATCTCCATAAAGTCACGTTCGGAAAAAAAAAACAAACTAACCATCGTCTCACCCATCCTAGGGCCCTTCATTTCTGTGCCTAGCACGCCGACAGTGCAGTTAGGTACCTCTGGACCGATTTCAGGTCATCTAAAGTACAAGTAGAAAGCATTCCGTATTCCAAGCCCTCTCGCCCTCCCTATCTATCCCCCTTCTATCCTTTGTCTATGTATTTACTATCCTGCTAGTCACTTCCCTTGAGCTGTAACCCCACCGTGCACATCGGTTTTCACCTCCACCCCTCGCCTTTATTTCATTTTTAGCATCCCGTATTTGAAGTCAGCAGGGCTCAGCAGGATTTGACCGACAGTTACCTCTTGCCTTGAGCTCAAGAAAAAAAAAAAGTAGCCGGGTTTCTGCGCATGCTCTGCTCTGACAACTGCATCCTATGATTCCAAACAGGTTACTGTAAAACATACCGAGCCTCGGCAGCTCATTATATAATGATTTTGTGTAAACCGATACAATGGGGCCTCGGACACATTAAGGAGGTTGGTAGAGCAGGAAAGAGCCAGGGGCAGGGGGACCCACAGGCCGGGTCCCACCTCTGGGCGTGTTCTGCCTTTATGACTTAGCTTCTTACATATAAGAGGGATCAAAAAATGAAAGAGGCAGTCCCCTCCTCATGACATTTGCTTTTATCTGGTTACATGTTTGGGTAACCCTTGGCCATTCTTCATTTTACCCGTGTTCATTTCTTTGGGATTCCTAAATGATGGTGGTAATGGAAAATGAAGGAGGTTAGTATTGTTAGTTGTGGGTAAAGAAAGTTTCAGGTCTTGGAGATACTGGGTAACTAACTCTTGAAGCCCTTTCAAAGCTGCAAAAGTAGCTCATACATGTGGGACAATAATGAATCAGAATGTTTTAAGGTACAGGTGTTTTTATGTCAAGATATTTTGGATGTTATGTTATGGTTTGAGACAGCCCCAGAACTCAGGTGTTTCGTTCGTGTGGAGGTGCTAATGGCTGAGCTCATTTTTTCAGAGAATGTTGTTTTGTGTGAAAACCATTCTCCCTGAAAACCTTGTGCTTTTTTGTTTTTAATTTAAAAAATTCTACCCAAGTCATAAACAGAGCCCTTGGGAGATACCCAGGATCCTAAACTTTGCTCTGCGGTCCAGCCCGGGGCTGGCTGCCAGGTGTGAGTCTGGAGAAGGTGCCTTGGAGGATGGAGGAAGCACCCACATGGTGTTTCAGAGTCCCTGAGCTGGGCTGGGCAGGGCAGGCAAGGGCTCCCAATGGGGACTGGCATTTGGGGCTGTTGGAAGCCAGATTTTGGAGACAATGAGGTTGGCATTCTGAGTGACCAAGCCGGTGACACCTACCCTTTGCTTAGTTAAGGGCGTGACGTTTGGGTTCTTTTCTCTTAGGCGGTGGCCTTGAGGATTCTGGACCAGTACGTTTTCCTCTTATGTGCCCAGGGTCCCAGGGAGGGATCTGCCCTTCAACTGCAGGGTCTGCTGGTCTAGGTGGGCACCATAGCTGGCAGCAGTGAGAGAAGTGAGAATGCACGCCTGGAGCCTGCGAGTCCCTCTTGGCTTTCCTCCCTTCCCCAAGATGCTGTGGGGAAAGTTTCTATCTCCAACTGGACTTCCCTGGGTAAAGAGAGTAAAGCAGCCTCACAATGGCTCAGGGGCTCTCTGACCATTAGAGACCCTCCCCAGCTAAACAAGCATTTCGATATATTAGCATTCAAACGGAAATCAGTGCCCGAGAAAATATTCCTACCAACAGCAGGCAGGAACAGTCCAAATAGGGTCTCCTCTGCACACCTGTGAATGGACTCACTAGTATTTACTATTTATTATGCAGCACAAATTGTGTGTGGAAGGGGAGGTCAAAGACAATGCTTCAGCAAGATAGGGAAGCGAACAAAGAAAGGGAAAGAATGGGGAGGGAGGATGTATTTGTTTCATCTTTAATGAACTCGGGAGGCTAAGGACAAGCTAGCTGTAACCTACATCGCCGGCAGCTCTCATCTGAGGCTGTTTCCAGAGAGCTGGTCTATTTTGGAGTGACAGCCACTGCCACCCATCAGACAGGATTTTATTAATTGGACACCCATGGCGGAAAGGTGGGTGATGGCATGCACCGCTTTGGTGTCGGTTGCTCTGGGGGTAGGGTTGTGTGGTCCCGCATTCTCTTGTGGATTTCCCTGCAAGGGACGGGGGCTGGGATGACCCAGGGTCCACTACAGCTTGCCTACAGAAAGCCAAGCAACGTCCCGGCGCTGCTTGGGACTGTTTGGGAGGACCCGTGGAGGCAGGGAAGCCGCACAGAGCTGGACCCCAGCTTGGCTACTCCTTAACGGTGGGGTCTCAGGCAGGTGGGCTGGTCTCCTCGTGAAATGGAGTGGCAGAGGGTCATACGCCACCCGGCCCCCGCCCCCGGAGAGCTGTGGAAACAGAGGAGGAGTAACCTGTGCACCTGTGCAGTCTGCAGTTTAATGAGCGCACTGTAATTGTGCATTGCTGAATGAATAGTCGCTACTGTTCATAATTGCTTACCTACTACGCGGGAGGTATTAATGCAAAGCTGTAAATAGTAAGTACGGGCCTCTGGCTTTACTCTCTCGCTCCCAAATCAGTTTACTCCCCCAGCTTTGTCCCACTGGCCCGTCCACTTGTCTCCCTCCCCACTGTCCCCCGCTGGTGAAGGGCACGCACCCTCCCCACTGCAGGCAGCTGCAGGAGACGTTCTCACCGGCCCGCTGGCCGCGGGATAAAGTGCACATCCCTTAACAAGCTTTGCAAGCCCTCCACCGTGCGGACCCTGTGTGCCTCGCTAGTCCCACCTTGTTCCAAAAGCCCCTCCCCCCTCCCCAAATCAGAGCTCCAGCCCCTGAATTTCAGATCTCCAGCTGTTCCTCTGTCTTGCTGCCGAGCCTGTGCACGTGCTGTTCCCTCGCAGGGAATGTCGGTCGTGAACAAGCACCCCTTCCCCACCCCACCTCGCTAAGCTCACCTCACAGTTTATTTCCTCAGAAACACCGTGTATCCCCCCCACCCAGGGCCCCCACTGCATTGCGTGAGCCTGGTGGGTCCCTGAATCGTCTTGTTCTAGCTCTTGCCCCTTGGCATTGAAATTGTTTGCGGCCCAGTCTTGGACTTGAGAGTGCTGAGGCCACAGGCCATGTCTGTCTGGCTGACTGCTGATGCCCAGGGCTTTATCTGGGCTGTGAGTGAGTGAGTGAGTGAGAGGATAGATAGGCTTGGAGTCTAGACGGGCAAGTCAGACCCTCATCATAATCCAGGTCTGGCATCTGTTCCAGCTGGCAGGTGGGTGGAGTCATGGCCGTTTGTCCCTGTATTCGTGTAGGTTTCGTTAAAAAGGGAAGACCCGACCTGTCCCTGGGCTTCCTCAGGGGTTGACGCGAGTGGTGGGTGCTGGGGGAGGGTGTGGATGGTCCAAGGTGGCTGGAGGTGGAGGGGGCCAGGCCCTGGGGAGGGGCTTCTGTAAGCTCCCGCCCCCAACTGAACACAGAGCAATTGGCTCTCCCGGCGTTAGGGCCAGTGCCCCGGCAGGACGTAGGTCTGGAAGTAGACGTCTCACCTTTCCAGGTGGGGGTGAGGATGGACTTTGGGGACCAGGCCTGGAGCTAACTGTCTCACCCATTGTTCTGTCCACTACCCACCCCCTAGCAAAGCCAGGATTTGGTGCTTCCAGGGCCCCTGTGGAGTCAAACGGGGGTTATAACCCTGGGACAGCAGCTGGTGTTCCCCAAGAGCAAGACAGGTGGGCCCAGGGATGGCATTTGGTGCTGCTCTGGGTGCTGGAGCTGCAGGTCAAAGCCAAGAGCGTGCTGAGCTGGGGCGGGGTCTCCTGTTGTTCCTTCAAGGGCCCCC